GGGGCGGGTCCCGCGGACCCGCCCCGCGCTCGGGCTCCCCCTGGCGGCTGGGAGGTAGCGTTTCCCACTCCACCCCGGGGAGGGGACGACACTGGAATTTTAAGGGTTTTGGTAAATGAGTCGGTACGTACAACCGAAAGGCAGAGCTGCAGGAAAGCAAACGCCCACGGATACATTTCACCGTGGAACATATTTCACAGCCAGCTGCTGCAGTTTCTGAAAAGTTCCGCTAAGAGCGGCGCAGTCTCGTGTCCTGTCCCTGGCCGCAGCGATTTGCGCGCAGGAGCAAAGGACCAGGACTACGGCTCTGGCAGAGGATCAGTGGATCACCACATGGTGAATGACCACCCACTGCAGCACCAGCATCGAAACCTCCTTGAAGATGTGATCACAGTCGCAATTTCTCTTGAGATATATGTGCAGCTTGCTTTTTTTTTTTTTTTTTTAAGTTAATCCATGAAACATCCTTTCTTCCTCAAAACCAGAGTCTTCCTGTGTTCATAAAGCTGTTTTTCGTTCCGTTTTGTAGGTTCTTAGAATTCAGGCCGAGGTTAGGAAATTTGTTCTACTCAGTTTGTTATAATGATTAACAAGCCCCAGGGAACTACTGTATCAAACAAATGACAGCAGAAAGCAACCAGAATATAGCAACAGATCAACGATTTTCAGATAACATTTAGATGCGCAAATGCTTCCCTCCCCGGGTGACAGAGTGTGGTGTGATACAATGCCTACAGATTTGCTGAGGGCAGAGTTTGACAGCAGCAGGGAAGGCTACTGTACTGCACGTAACCCTTCCAAAGCCATTTAGGCGCCGTTTGTCATTATGCTTGGTCACGTTTGGCTTAGATCCTGTTGGATCCAACCACCATATGCTGCAGAATAAGCTACTGCAACAAAGCTGACCTGTGCAGGTAACAGGCTGGGGGTGTTTCTGGCTTTGCTGTGCGATCAGGCCCTTGAACTAAGAGAGGCTACACAAGGGAAACAGGAATGACACAACCAGGGCTGCTCCCTGTGGAAGGTTGTAGCTACACCAGACACAACTGTAAGTAAAAAGAAAAAAAATGCAGCCGTAGAGCCAGGCAGCATCAGTATGCAGTAGATGCTTTCCTTTACCTGCCAAATACTCATTTTTGAGAGGCAGAGCATTGAACAGAGGTTCCATGCTCATGATTTATCTTTAAATAGTCCTATAAAAGTGCCCCATACTTACTATTGAGAATGAATCCAATATTTAGTATTTAATATGGTATTGCACGTGCTCTGCGCTGCCATAAGGTGTTTCAGATTTATCTCCTTGCCATGCATCTAGTGAAAAACTCCCAGTAAGAGGTACCGTGTGATAAACCTCCGGTCACAGAAGCAAGAAATCAATAACCCCTATGGGGACTGCCTGCAGGGGCAGGTTCTGGTGCCTGCAGTCACCTGAGGCAATGGAAAAACCTCACCCTCCACGCTGGAAGCTTTGCAAAGTGAGAATGAAGCACACCTACTTCCCCAGCTCCCTGCTACACAGGACTAGAGCCAGTATGGCTAAGACAAGAGAGTCACTTCACAGCACGATCGTTCTGAATTTTCCAAATTGCCTACGTCGCAGATAGGTCTACTTTCTACTCTTGCTACCCGAGTTGATTCCCATGCCATAAACTAAATCAACTGCACTACATCAATGTATTGCTACTTGTCCTACAGCACAATTAAGAGACATCTAAATAAACGTGCCCATGCCATTTATTTCTCAGAAACACCAGAAACAAAAGGTCAAGTTATCTTCTGAGAACTTTCTTGGTTTGATGAGCAAACAGCTGCTGGTAGAACACTCCAAACGGAAGATATTTCCAAGACTGTGGCCAGTACTGCATAGGCTGTTTTTGGACATGTGAAGCCTGGTGCAGAATCCCATCTTTTTACCTCCCAAAGACAGTCTTGTGCACTGGTCAGACCTTCCACGAAGGCTGTAACTGTGCTTTAGGAGAACTTCCCTGCCTGAGGTGGTGGGCCAAGGAAGCCCCCTGCTTGTTTGGTGGCAGCCCGGGAAGGAGCAAGACCGAGCATCTTCTGGATGTTCTGCAAAAACAAGAACAGAAGAGCAGGATACTCTCAGACCATGACAAGGGAGACAAAGAGGAAGAAATCCCAACTCTGCTTACAAGTACAACCTTCCCACTAGTTTCAACAGATTCAGGTTCTCACCCACATAGCCTTACCAATCTGGCTACTATACATCAGACCTCTATCCCTATACATTTGAAAAAGCTTACACCGAGCCAGACAACCATCTACAATGGCTACAATTAGAGCTAGGCCCCTCTCCCCCACCTCAACAAAAGCGTTCTGATCATTAAATCCACATTGGGGTTGAGGGTTCTTTTCCACCTCCAGCTACTTACCACACGCAGTCAGCTGGCAGGTACCTTGTTAATGTCTTTGCACACTGGTTGGTTTAAGATCAACCTACAAAAGTTACTTTGCAATGTAACTGCAGTGCACACACAGGAGCAGGTTCTCAACATCTGCTCACAGGCAGAACTGAAGCAGCCCTCGGTTTTCATGAGTTCCAGAAACCCCTGTTGATGGCAGCCATCAGAGCCTGAGGGTCTGCAAGCTGGTGAGGAAGGCTCTCTCCTAATGCAGTTGGAATTTGGGTCAGCAACATGGCAACCAGAGCACGTGCCAAGTTCAAGTCAGGAGCTTAGGCACAGAATTAACATGAATGCTAGTGATGCAGGCGGAACAATGGTTTGGTGGAGATATGCAGTATAACAGAACATATGTAGCAAAAACCAAAAACTGACTATTGAGATGACCTCATCTGCATCTGAGCAGGGTGTTTCAGTGGAAAACAACAAACAAGGAAAGAATTAAGTAGCAGAGCCAGGCATTAGCTAAAAACTCACAGTAGAACATTTAAAAGTTTGGTGTTTATTTTTGTGAAATTCCTTTCAAATTTTGCAACAGTGCAACTACAAAGAGCTATCAGTTCTTTCAGTTTCATCCTCCACTGTAAATAACTATAGCTCAAGATGCTGCTCATGCAGTGCTGGCAAGATGTCTGATGCAAAGGAAAGAAGAAAACAACCATGTCCCCCTCATGTCACCAGCCGAGTCCTGGCTATTGAGACAACAAAAGGAGGAAGGAGGATTTTCTTCAAACCTGAGTGTCCTCTCCAAAATAACTGTCAGGATAGGTCAGACAGCAAGGTCACAGAGTTCTTGAACTTTTTGATCATGGAAGGAGAACAAACAAAAAAAAGCAGACAGAGCTTCATAATTCCACAGTAACTAAGTTAAAAAAAAAATCTGAATCATTCCAGGTGGAGACTATGGAAAGGAAGGTTTCAGCCCACACACAAGCATGAAAGTAAAGGAGGGGAACACTTGAAAAGGAATTACATCAGGTTTAGTCCATGGCCTACATAAATCAGCCACTGGTTGATATTCAGCAACTGAATATATATATGCGAGCATTTCACTGTGGGAGACTCCTTCCTGTGGTTCCTCTTCTCAGAGCATCCCTAGTGAAGAAATGGACAGAAGGGAGAAAACAAAAGCAGCTAATGGACAGATTCAGCAACACCAGAGGGTGCTGCAGACTCAGCAGCAGACAGGACAGGGATCCTACCAGCTTTGTACTGGCTTACCCGTGGAGCAGAGTAGAGATCCTAGCACAGCACCCATGGAAGCAAAGAAGTGTGCACTGCCTCCTCTCTGTTCCTTTAAGTATCAAGAGAGAGGAGAACTCTGGTGCTAAAGTTCACTCCATCTGCTTGAACAGTTCCAAGAGGAAGAGAGATGACAGCTTGTTTGTATGTGGATTCAAGACTAGAGTCACTCTCCAGCATTATCCTTCCACAGTAGTCCCTTCCTTGCTGTGGAAGGCAGCTAGCCTCCTGCATTAGCTGCAAAGCAAGTTTTGCTGGACAGCAATCCTGAAGTCTACACAGCTGGAAACACCAGGGCTGGGGCAAGG